CTGGCACCCTGGGCCAATAGGCCAGACAGGGAGAGCTCCTCAGCTCTCATCTCCCATGAGCACCAAGATGAGGGCAAAAGCCACACTGGGTAGGAAGGTAAGCCCCAAGTGCTAGGTACTGTCCCCTGGAGACGGAGGAACAGGGACAATACCCAAGTGTGGGGAAGAAGAAAGACATGGCTCCTGCCAGGAGACCCTCAACCCCAGTCAGAGCCCTGGGGGCCCAGGCCAAGGCAGCAGCTCTTAGCTACACCATGGCCTGGGTACCAACCCCACATCACAGCCACCATGGACCCCACCATGGGAGTCACATCTTCAGTGACTTCCTCTGACTTTGCCTTCCTGGGGGTACCCTGGACCTACCTAGAGGAACAGACCACCTAGACCCCACCCAGAACCTCAGGAGACATAGGCTCAGAGGTCCTCCTGCCACTTCTCTCTAGTGGACATCTCCTACTATGAGTCTGGGACCACCTCCAAGCCAACCCATCAGAGGCTGCCCAGCTTGGACCTAGCGCCCTCCACACCCCTGGGCAGCCCTTGGCCCGATGCCCGGGGAACATATCGTCCGGGGGGATTGTTTTCCCTCCTGGGTGCACTCTCTCTCACTCGCGTCTCCTCCCTGGGTTCTGTGAGCTAATCAGAGAGAAGGAGGGGGAGGAGGGGGTGCTGCTTGCCTTCCCCGTTATCTGCAGCAATCCACGGTGACTAATGCTCCCAGTTGGTAAAAAGGCAGTGTAATCAAAACACTTTTTTTTTTTTAGTCCTTAAAGTTAGTCATTCTCCCAGAGTGGAGGAAAAAAAAAAAACCACAGCAGGCTCCATGAAATGCAAGCTGAGAGGCTTGCACTGCTGGGTGGTACCAAAGCATTGGCCCTGGCAGCTCCCTGCGGGTCTGAGGCTCAGGGCCCTCCTCCTCTGGGTCCTTGGCTGTCCTTCCTCCACACCCTTGTTTGTTCTTGCTTTTCCCAACATCTGGGCTGTCTGATCCCTGAAGGACTTCCATGCCAAGTCAGGAGCTGCCCTTTTCTCTCACCCTGCCAGGTGCTGCCACCTGCTGGCCCTGAGCCTCCCAGGCTGGAGGAAGCATATAAAAGCTCCCAGAATGAGGCCCAGGCCAGGCACCAGGTCAGATCTTGTTAGGTGCCTGGTCACGTGCCATCCTCCCTTCGCCCCCAACCTAGCCATTTGGTGTCAGAGCTTCTTTCTCTGGTTCTTTCTGCCTATTGGCTTCTGACCCCACTGTGCCTTGATGGCACCATGGATTGCCAGAGGTGGCAGGGACCATGAAGGGGTGGTGGTAAACTACAGTAGCAAAAAAGCATAAGCATTGGATCCAGGTTGCCCAGGTTGGAAACTCCACTTCACCACTTCATGGTTGTGCTTCAGCTCCTACATCTATAAAATCAATAATAATAATAATAGCACCTACCTCACAGGGTTGTGGTAAAGTTTAAATGTGAACTGCTTAGAATAGTGCCTGACATGTTGTGAGTACCCGATTATTAACTCATAAAAATAAAAAACAGATAATAAAATGGAGTATCTACCATCACACCCAATTACTTGTCCAAGGCAGACATTACTAGTCGATCACAGAACTTGCCCACCAATGGTAGAGTTCCTGGAAGCCTCAACACAGCACTCCAGGCAGCTAGTGACAAACGATCCAAGTTGGCACACTAGATGACACCCACTTGCCATCCTAGATCTAACCTAGATCTTTCACATTGAAGTCAAGGAAGATGAGGCCCAGAGGAGGAATGGGACTTCCTCAAGCCACGTAGAGGCAGAAGCAGGGTTCAGATAGGAATTCCTGGCCCTGACTCCTGCTTGCCAGCTAAGCTTCTGATGTATCACTTCACCCTGACCTTTAAATGATTGCTTTGGGCTTCCTGCCCCTGGAAAATCTCTTCCAGGTATCTTCTATCACCCTGCATGCTTGCTCTACCTCCCATGCCCTTGGCCCCGGACTGCCCAGGAACTTTTGTTCTGAGGCACCTGCCGAACAGGTGCAGAGGGGGAGATGAAACCACTTAGAAACCTACAGGCCGGGGTGTGCTACAGGAGCCTTCTGAGGCACAAAGGTCTTCATGGCTACAAGGGAGCTCTGCTCATCTCATTCAGCCATAGCCTGGTGCTGGTAAAGCCCTTGCCAGCCCAGGCCCTGGTTCTGGGAATCCTTGCTCTCCACATGTCAAAGGCCAGTGTGGCAAGAGAGTATGGGCCAGCCCTACACTCAAGACAGGAAAGGCTGAGAGAGGGTGGGGTGTGACAAGCCCAGAGGTAGGGTCAGTGAGGGGCACCCACTTTCCAATTTCTGAGTAAAACGCCCCAGGGAGAGGTCAGAGCTGATGCCAGAGCAGCTTCTGCTGCAACTTTCCCTCCGGTAAACAGCTTTGTCCCCAAAGTGGACCTCTGTCACCTGAACACTTTTCAAACTCGGACTTCTGGGGAAGAATCAGTATTTCTCAGGCTTGGGAATAGGAGCCTTTACCCAAGGTGTCTTGTCTCTCAGCTTCTAGAAACCCACTTTGCTTTTTCTCCATTATTCCCCTGCAAGGGTATGATTAACCTGTGTTGTTCTGTCCTCTAGTTATAAATAAGAAAGATATCATTTCTGACCCTGCAGGCTCAGCTTTGCACAACAATGCGAGGTGCTTTTGTGTCCCCATGTCAGCTTCCCAGGGATCAATGCCACATGGCATGGCTGGCTTATGGAAGGACACTGACGGCAGGATGCCTGATTATCATCCTCAACCCAATGCCACTCTAGCTGAGCAAATGAGCCACAGGTGGGGAGACTACATTCAACCTAGGGCAGACACACTCCGGACAGACTCCTGGGAGGCCATCATTCTTCCCAGTAACCTCAGAGGTCTTGCTAACTACATGAAAGATGTGAGGTGAGCTGTAAACAGTGCAGCTCTAGTTAGACCTCAGGCTGGATCCTCCCCTCCAAGAAGATTCACATTTAGCTTCATCCCAAGATATCATCGATTCCTCAAACCTGCTCACTTCCCTGGGATTGCCTCTCTGTTCTCCTGCCTCCTCCATTCTATTTCTCAAGCACCTCTAGAGCAAATAAGACTGATGACTTAGGAACTCGAAATGCTGGCAGGTTTGGTTATGCTATATATGCACTCATCTTATAGACAGGAGGACCAAGGCCAGAAGGGGGATGTGACTTGTCTGAGGCTAGTCATAATGTCAAAGATGGAACTGGAGCTCTCTAAACTCTCAGTCCAGAACTCATCCATTCTAGCCCTCCAGGATGTGTCTGCTACCACCCCCACCTCCAGCCCTGAAACAGACTCCCCTAGGATATGGCAGCTGCCTAGGCTAATGCTTTTGAAAATATTTGTCACTGTGGGGCAATAACTGAAGGGGGCAGAACTTGGGGAAGGGAAAGCCATCTGCAGGTGCTAAAGGGTCAGGAGGCTCCTAAACACACAGCAGCCCCTCTGTCCACAGAGCCTCTGCAAAGCAGCAGGTACTGTCGCTCCTTAACCCACACTCTCTGCCCAGGCTGCCCTTTGGTGACTTTTCTCTTTCTTTGTACTTCAAGTCTGCTCTTGTGCTCATTTTTGTCCTTTTTCCTGAGCAAGAATGTAGTGATGAAGCTGATCTGTGTGATATTCTGGGGGACACACTCACCCACAGGAAAATCCTATTAATTCAGACTATAGAAGCTTCACAAGTGGAATCAGACACACAAACTAGAGACTATCCCCTGTGTCCCACCCGCTGAGCTTCCCTACTCTTCCGGGGTGAGCCCTCTACTCCACTGTTAGTGATTAGAACTAATAATACACATCTTCCACTCTAGGTCATGGCTTAGCTGCTCCCAAGTGAGTCCTGAAACACTTGAGGTCCATTTGAAGAACTCCTAAAGAGAAGGTCCTTGGTCCAGCAGTTACCAGCACTGGCCTCACTGTCTACTCTTCTCTCTTCTAGAACAGGGAGGCCAACTTGGCCCAAAACCCTAGGCACTTGTGAGGGACGAAAGCCCTGAATTCTGATTTTAGGACTGGAGTAAAATCATCTGCTTGCCTAGAGCTCAGGCCTCTTCTTAGCCAAGACGTGTTCCCTCTGCTTGGACCTTCCCTCCCCCTCAGTTTAGATTCACCTGCCTACCCCTGAGTGCACCTTCAGGACATGGCTTACACACGGTCTCCTCCCAGAAGCCTTCACTCAAACCCTGTGTGCAGCTTTGGGGGCCCCTTTTAGGCTGTCACCTTGTTCTCATCATGTATTATTATTATTTCCCATTTGTCTTTCCCTCTGGGAAAGTAGCTCTGAGAGAGCATAAGGAGAGGATGGATACTTCTTTTACACAGTCCTATGGGTAATATTCTCGAGGTTTGCATAGTACCTGGCTCAGTGTAGATTGCAGCTAATATTTGTTAACCGAAGGAATAGAAAGAATGGGAACATTCACATCGTTTGGGTTCTGTAGGGCACACGACAGTACAGACTGGAAGGCAGGGAGCCACCCTTACTCTGTCCCCTTTAGTTGAGTAAATCCATAGAACATTCCAACTTGAAAAGCACCTACTCTATTAATCTTAAGTGCCCTGCGCCATCTTAAAGAAGGGGGGAAATGGGTTGGTTTGTTAGTTACAGTCATGCTCGTGCAGGCTACAAAATTTAAAATATGCGAATCAGCATACAGAGAATCTAAGTCTTCCAAACGCATCTCCAGTGGCTCTCTCAACATCGGCAATTGCTTGCGCTGTCTCTGGATTAGAAACCACGTTAGATGAAGAAAGATGGTGGCAATAAACCTGTTAATGGCCTTGTATAGTCAACGAAAGAGAACGTTACAAGTCAGCGTTGAAAGCAGAAAAAAAGCCCCCAGAGGAGCTCTAGCCTCCACTCCAGGCCAGAGCCAGAGGGTTGCCAGCAACAGAGATTCCGCAGAGAACACCTGGCAGCGAAAGAGTTAGCGCGGGAGCCCCGCCCTCGGACCGCCTTTTCCGGGCTGCGGGGGAGGGCCCTACGTCACTTCCTGGAGACTAACTGAATCCGGAAGTGATCCCAGAGGACCGACTTGCAGCTGAGGACCCCGGCGGCAGGCCCAGGTTCGGGACCATGAGCTGGTGAGTGAGGCCCGCGAGCCGGGGGCTGCTGATCCCCGGTCCCGCGGTGGGCTCGGCCACTGCGTCAGTGCCCGCTCTTCCCGCACGACCCCTCTGCCCCAGAGCAGGGCCCGACAGCCTGTGCTTGGGGTCGTCCAGGGGACCCGTCTTCTCCAGCGCTTTCCCTGAGTCGGCATCCCTCAGCAGGACTCTCAGGCAGAAGGGCCGGGGGGTCCTCCTACCCTGGGACTTAGCGTCTGACTCCTGTTTTGCCCGACCCGTTTATTCCCAACTCCTTGAAATGAGGGACTTCCTTATTCCCTCCCGGTTTAAATATCCGTTGAGGTGGAGTCGGTGTCTTCTTTCTTCTCTGTGGGCATCTGTCTGCTGCGCCCATCCGCCCCGGAGCTGTGGCCCTTACTCTGGCAGTCTGGGTCCAGTTCACTGATGAAAACCCACTCATTTTTAGATAATAGCCCATTGCACCACTTAACAGTCTCCAAAAGCCACCACTTGCTCCTTTTTTGTAAGGGGCCAGAATTACACCCCCTCACCCACCCTCACAGGATGGGATTGCACTAGTTTTAATCATTCCCAGGGCCATTACCCTCTACCTTCCCCCTAAATAGACATGGTGAAGCTTAGACATTGTGGGTGCTGTTACACTATGAGCAAAGAAGCTAGAGAATCTTAGAGAAGCAATGGAATCACAGCTGCAGTTGCTGCAGAACTGTGTGATACTTGACACGTAGTAGGCATTTCATAATGTTTAATGGTTGATTTATTATGTAAGACTCCATTTGCTTAAATGGCGATCGCTCTTTGTGGCTCTGCACTATTTACATTCATAGGAGAGAACTGTTGCTGGCCTGCCTTAGAGGATGCCAATACCAAGGACCTTACCTAATCAGAGACCTGCATATCCACAAGCCCAGACCTCAGGGTATTCAACTGTTATGTACTTGTATGAATAAATTGACCTCTAGAGAGGTACAAGACAAATCAACCCTTTTGAAATCCAACTTCCATTGACATAGAGAACACAGTTTGCCACTCTGTCCTACAAGTCTAGCCTGTCTGTTTATACAGAGTGCACAATAACCAGTTATGAATGAAGAGACTAGAACATACATCAGTGGCCATCCAACATTTGGCTATCAGTGGAGACTAAGCTCTGGCCACAAGCAACTGATGTCAGTCAGTGTCAATGGTAACTCTCTAATGTAAAATTTAAACCATTTCTATCCCCTTCCCCACCTGCTGCGTAGACTAAGATTGATGGGCAGATGTCAGCCATTCTGGGCCAGCACGTGGAGGGAAGCCCGAAGCAATTCCCTAATAAGCTCCAGCAGGAGCTGCTCCTTGTCCCTCCACATTGTGCTCCAGGAAGCCAATAGCGGACTAGAGCCTTAAAAAGCTAACTTCCCTGTCTTGTTACAGCTGGTCAGTGATGGGCAAAGTAGCGATTTTTTAATTCCCTTTCCTAGAAGATTTACTTCCTTTAAGTGGCAGCCTGGGTCCCCCAGTCCTGTTTTGGAGACGTCCTCCTGCTTGCTGCATCTTGAATCTTTGGAGTTCTCATGCCTAATTTTTCAAATTAAAAAGGCAGAAGGTACTGGTGCTTTGTGTTTCTTAGTTTGGCATTTACTGAATCAAACTTTTCTTCACAAATTGGGAGAAGACTAGGGGAGAAACCACTGAAGGCAGTTTTTCCCTGGGTGATCTGAGGCAAAGCGGTTCCACCTCCCTGGCAGAAAGTTTCCTTTCTGAAAAACTAGTAGTCTATTTCCTAAAGCCTATAACATTGGAGAGAATTGAAATTGACAACTAACAGACTTGCAAGAGCTGAGATTTTTGTCTAGTAGAACTAATTTACCAGTACATGGCACATCTTGGTACCTCCTTGGATTGAGAGTCACAACCAAAAGGGTGGCTTTGTCCCTCAAAGCTGAGATGCCTTTCTTTTTCTCCTTGGCTTCTACGTCATCTCTTGCGTGGACCCTGACCCTCTCCCCCTGAGAGGGGAACAGCACCGGCGCCTGGGCACACAATCGCACTCAGTTCCCAGCTCAATGGCTGGCAAGGGGACCAGGGCTGGGTCCTCTGAATCACTCGCAGAGCGGTTTTCCTGCTCCCAGAATGAATTCCTCCATTCATGTGATATTGGAATTCTCAGCACGGGAAGAGACCAGAGTGACGTAGAGCCATCATGGGAGGCTCATGCCCAAGGTCAAGTTCACCAAGTACATGGGCTATGCCAGCCATCGTTAAATCAGGCCTAGGGGCACATGGCTCATGGTCCCTAGAGAGTAACCATTGTTCTCAACTAGGCTGGGCTTTCAAAATGTCACAGTGAGAAATGTCCAACATTGATGCCCTTTGCACACTGTGGACTTTGCATGAAGAGTGAGAGGCCTTTGTTCTCTGCTTCCTCTTTGCAGGCAACCCGCCTACCCCGTTTGTTTAGTGGGCACCTGTTGCCTTTCCACACCAGCTACTCAGCCACTCAGCCACCCAGCCACACATCTGCCTTTCAGTGAGGTGGCCCAGTGGTCTGGCCTACTAGGAAGAAGGCATTTGATAATCAGCAGAATCACTTCTTGGCCCCAGGCCAAATACTTCTCTCTCCCCCTCCCTCTCCCTACCCGCTTCCTGTGTGTATATATGTGTCATAATCATGGTATGGAGAGAAAATTGTGTAGAATTATGAATAGTGAGCTGAACCTAGCTTAGCCATCTCCAGGAATTGTAGCCTCCCCTGGAACCACACACCTTGATCATCTTAGGCTTAGTGATGAGGAATGAGGAGTGCTGGAGGAAATACTCCTATGCTGAGGGCCCAGGGGCTCTACTGAGAAGGAAGGAGATTAGAGGCAGCGCAGAGCAGCTCCATAGGTGTTAGAGTGCTCCGTTCAGGCCCTGGTTCATTTGTTCCCCGTGTGGCCTGGCCAAGCACTCAACCTCTCTCTGTCTTATTTTCTTTATATGTAACACAGGATGGGTAACTGTAGCTGACACTTTGCCACCCAAGTCTCCTGTGAAAAGAATGGAGACTCTCTGTGGATATGATCGTTTTCTGACTCTTCTGGACTCTTCTACCTCTACCTGCCCCTTAAATATCGGTATTCTTTAGGGTAATTTTTTTTCCTTTCTCTTCGTACCCTGTATACCCTCGCCATCATCTTCAGTCAGATAAAGGGCTGACTCTGGACCACTCTGGCTTGTGTGGCCCTCCTGCATCTAGCTGTCCCTCTCTATTCCTGTTCGTGCAATTCTCTAAGCCGTCCTTGCTTTCTCTTGCCCTTGCTCCTTTGTTCTGTGTGCTGTGCTTGAAATCCTCCTTCATTCAAACCCCCACTCTCCACTTATCCTTAAAGAGTCAGGCCAAGCCTCCTGAACCACTCCCTGCCACACTGCACTGGGTGCCCCTCTGACCATGAGCATCTGAGCTCAACTGGTAGCTTTACTTATCTTTGGGTTATTACTTGTCCAGGGGTGATTGTGTTACTGTTCTGTGGATCGACAGTGTGGAGACTGTCTCTTGATCATTGCTGTTTCCTAGCACTATTCCTGGCAGTCAGGAAGTGTTTATTAAATGTATGAATGAGGACTGTTCTCTCATTTACTGACTTGTCTCAGCTCAGAAAAAGTTTTCATATGAAAAACGTGTGAAACCGACAATCCACTCCCTACAATGAGAGCCTCTAGAAGTACTGTTGTTAAATAGACTGACAGAAGTGGCTTTCAGGTCAGGCTGTCTCTAGTTGCTTCTCCCCACCCATCTCTGTTTCCTCTGCCCCCAACAGACTGCTCTGATGGGTTCACCCTGCACATCCATAGCGCTTCTCCTTTGTCACTTCTGCATTCTTCCAGATCAATCACACTCCTGTCTCCCAAATCAGCTCCATGGAAACAGGAACTGCAACTTCTAAATCTTTGTTCACACTGCTACCCCATGCCTGGTGGGCATCTAGTAGGTGATTGTTAAATGCATGAACAGAATATAAGGAGAGTTGGGTAAACTTCTGGGTCCAATAGAACTGTCTATTGAGTTCCCAGTACTTTCTCAGTGGAGTCTCTTCTCTCTGTCTTGCCATTGCTCTTGAATTTGCATCATGCGCCTAGCTTTCTGAAGGACCTTCCCATCCACTGTCTGACGTCGCCCTCTCATCTGCCTATGGAAGTCCAGGGTGTGGGTCCTCTTGGCATTCACTCAGTGAGTACCTGGCACAACAGGAGAGAAAACTTGCATCTCCTGGGGGTTCCGTCATTTGACCAAGAATATTACGAAGTAGAAGACTACTCCCAAGCTGACCGGGTCCTGAAGGAAGGTGTTGCCCTTTGATAGGACGTGTTGACACTAGCAGGTTGGTACAGAATCACAGGAAGCTATCAGTTTTCACAAGAGAGAGAAGAAATCCTAGCGCCCTGCAGACCCCTCTGTGTACTGTAACCATCTCAGCTTCTTTCTGTTTTGGGCCCCGTGCCTGGGGCAGCCTCCCCACTCATGTCACCTGTGACCTCGGACAGGCCACACTCTCCCCAAGCTTTACCCTCTCTCTCGAGAGCATGGCAGTGCCTAGAAGACTGGGCCCCTATAAGGAGCCTGTGAGATTCTGTATATTGTGACCTTGCTTAGGGCACAAAAGTAAAACATCTCAGTCTCCTTTAAGGTGTTGGTAATGAGAGGAAAAGGAAATCCTTCCAGATCTTGAAGCAGCTGGAAGAGCCAAGTTTGTTCAGTCTCACAGCAAGTTAGTCAAGAGTGTTTTCTTACGCAGTCTGTTGAGGTTGTCTCTAGAGTTGACAGTTAAGCCATTAGAATAGTTTTCCAAAGCCCAATATTTTACTGCCCAGCATAGTGCAATGCCCATAGGTGGCACTCGCAGATATTTGTTGATTTGATGCTTATTAAACATTTCTAATGTGCAGACCTCTGTGCTCCGTGTTGAAGGCCATTTAGAAGGCTGTAAGAGTAGATCTCTATCTTCAGCCAGCGTATGGGAGGTGCTAGGGATTCA